CAGTTTCCCTTGGGGGACTGAAAAAAACGGTCCCCCCACTGTCAAAATAACAGGTTTTTATCACAAGTAATATATACATGACACCCCCTCTACACACACATAAACACAAAAATGCAATGAAATATATTTTATTATGCATTTAAAACAAATGTAGTCCTTTTTCTGGTTTAACTATACTAGATAATTGTTTATATGTGCTGATTGGTGGCTGCACTCACCAATCAGGTCTCCCTGCTCATGAACCATCATGCCCAAATCTTTGAAAATCACATTTATATCTGTAATATCAGACTGAAACAGAAGGAAGGTGTCAGAAATTCTACATGGCATCCATACAAGCCAGCGCATTTCAGGTTTCTGACTGGAATATAAGCGACTTTCAGAAGCATCCATCTCACTTCTGCAAACAAAGAGGCTAGTAACAGGCGTTCTCCAGTTCTTTTTGACTTGGAAGAGCCCAAACACCATGTGTTGTGGGAAGCTCCATATGTCTGAGGCAGAAGCACATGCCTGTCAAATCAAATACTGTCCTTGTGGGTTTTTAAAGATATTACATTATATCATGTAAAATTAAGATGGTGGCTACCAACAGGAAGGTTCTTTATGCAAACATTATGTAAAAGACAGCGTTAGTGCTCTAAGGAAGCCAAAAATCCTTAATTTGAATAATGAAATAAAAGATGAGTTTATAATTAACAGGGCTGTTCTGACCTCCAGTTGGCGGATGGCGCTCTCTCGCTCCTCGATGAGACGCAAGTCATCCTCTGTAAAGGATTCCTCCTGGACTTGAAGGTGAGACTGGCTCTCACTGCAGCAAATTAGCGGGGTTTAAAAGCAGAGGAAACCGATTTGTTAATAAAACATCTAAATCACATTTATATTACAGTCATGAGTCACTTAACGACAGGAATATGAGAAATGCATCATTAATTTGTTGTTGTGTGAACATGATAGTGCACTTACACAAACCTAAACCTACTACACACCTAGGTTGCAATAAATTTTTTCTTTAATAAGTAAAAGGAGTACACTCTCAAATAACGATAATTATAGTATGTTAATGATGCAGTACAGTAACATAGTTGGTCATTATCATGTACTGTACACAACTGTATGCGCTATACTTTAAAACGACTTGCAGCACTGACCTTGTTGTTTACATCAGCATCACCATGAGTAATATGTTGTGCATAGACAACAGTAGGCGATATTAATTTTTCAGTTCCATTATCTTATGGCACCACCAAAGGAGAACAACTAAAAACTAACATGAAGAACACATGTAAGGAACACACTTAGGTAGCGCATGCAGGAACACGTGTAATGCAGCACATACAATGACCAACTGAGGATCAAGGGCAGGCATTAATATACACAGATAATGAAGGCATGACAAGGGACAAGTGTGAGTCATTATTAATAACACACAAGGGACTAGGAGCTATAGGGAAAAGGTGAGGGTAATTAATAAGCACTAAGGACTGAAACAGGAGAATCTAGGAAACAGAACATAACTACAGAACTAGACATGGGCAGGGATAACTAGAAACAAACAAAAAAACAAAAGGACAAGAATATGATAAACTGGAGAAAATGAATCACTAAAAGGTCCAACTAATTTGGTTCACAAAGGTAGGGGTGCACGGTTCTTAGCCGCGTGTTCAGACCATCTAGCCACACAGTGGCCTGAGGAGCAGGGGAACACACTAGGGACTGTAAAAAGGTACCAAACACAGAAAGGAACAAGATGGCCAGTGACACCTGCTGGACAAATGGAGAAACGACAGACATAGCAGGGACTGATCCTGACAATAATGCTATTTTCTAAAAGATATTGTCTTTGAATTGAATATTTATGCATACAATACTGTGCAAAAGTATTAGGCAGCCAAAGAAAATGTTTAAATGATCTTTATATTTATGTAAAACAAATATGCTTGTTAAAGTGTATTAGATTAGCCATTTCAAAACCTCTGCTAAAATCACTCCGTTATTTACACCAACCATACCATACACTCAAGTATTTTTTGACTTGACCACTAGCACACTTCATATAGTTAATCAGTATCGCATTGAGTTTTTTTTTCTAATTAAATGAATTAAGTGAGATGGTGGTGAAATTTAATAAACAGATGGAATAGATGGAATGGCTGAGGTACCCCTGAGGAGAGGTTTGGGAACTGAAGGGTGTTCATCTAGCCAACCAACAAGATACCAGTAACCCTTTGGAGAACAGAAGAAATTTCTGTTAGTTTTTATTGTTTTACTCTTAAGTTCCATATATCCTAATGTTAAATTGTGTTTTTGTTCTGAGCTAATGTGTACTTAATACCCAGATAAACAGCTTTAAACATTTCTTTTGACTTTTGCACTATACTGTACCTTTATCTTCCATTTATACTTTGTTTTTACCCTACAACTCCTGAGCACCTCCCTCTTATAACTTTATCTGTACTCTTTTTTGCAAAGGAGCAAGTCAGATTTTCATCTCACGGTAACTTGCACCAGTAGAACTGTGCATGTGACAGAATCTCGAATCTCTCTCTTGAATCTCACAGTCAATAGTTAACTGTACACTTCTTTAGAATTCAGCATCTTCTGCACAGAAACAAGGACACTTGGGGAAACTGAAAATTAGGAAGTGAGGAGAGTGAGGGGCATATGCTCTCTTAACAGAAATGTCACTTCACCGTAATGTCACTTTCACATGTCAAACACACCAACAGAGTTACTTAGGTTGATACTTAACACCATTCCAGCAACTAGGGCTATATTCATGGCAAGAGCATCTGGGTATTAAAAAGATTACAGAACCAAAAAGGTAAAAACTTGTAACTATAAAACGTTATAAATAGTTAAAACAATCTAAATTCAATGCTTAAGATTAGCTTTCAATTAAAAAAAAAAAATCTGAAAAAGCCTCTGGCTGGACTTTACTACAGAACTCCTTTAGGGAGTCAGTCACTGACAGAGATACGAAATGAGGGAAGCAGCTGGACGTTTTGTGCATCCCACTGATTCATAGTGACCTTTGGCTGGAATTTCTTTTTAAAATGACCAAAATTATTTTAAGAGATATAATGTTCCCTCCAAAACATTATGCAGTATGAAATGAAAATAGCTCACTGTTCATGGATATTATTTCACATTATGAGATCGATCTAGGGGTCAGATTTAGCCCCACTGTGGCGCCCCTTACAGCTACTGTGCCTTTTTGAGCATTATGAGCAGGACCAGCTCAAGGCATAAGCAAATATATTGGCTGCTAAGCGCCCAGCCACCACCAGGGGGCCCCCACAAGTAATCACCCTGTCAGAATAGCAAGAAACAACTTGGTTAATCAAATTTTGCTTAGGGCCCCAACAGAAGCTGGTCCGGATCTGCTTAGGAAGCTGACAGTGAGACATGAGAACAACCCTGACCTGTCAAAAGGCGATGGAATTCCTCCGAAGGACTCGTCAGGATGGCCAACCTGTAGATAAAGACGGCACCCTTGTCAGAAGCCCAATTTAGTTTTTGCATATTGGTATATTTCAGTGTTGTATTTAAAACCAAATCACTGCTGTCAATCCCTGCTGCCTGCCCAGCCCTCTCACTACCGCAATGCCCTGCTTTAGTCTGGCAGTAAGGAACTAGCACAGCTCACCGATAACCTGGAACCGGCACGGACTCTGGCAACAAACTCCTTTTCCTTTTCGGCAGCCTGCCGTTGAGTCTTCTGGAAGTTTGCCAGAGCATTGCTGAAATCGTTCACAAGGCGGTCTTTCTGCAACTTCCTCTGACGCTGGAGAGAAGAATAGTAAACATATACGCAAAATAATATAAACATCACAATGCAAAAACACCAAATTTATTTTGAAACTAAATCATGCTTTATTTTCCATCTTCACAAGGACATTGGAATGCTTCTTTTTGCAGATCCTATCTTGCTCTCCTTTGAAACATACACACATACAGTATATAACGGAGATCAAAGCATCCTGGTACCCCTGGAGTATTTTTTTTGGGGGGGGGGGGGGCTTACTCAAGGGCCCATCACAGATGTGACTATTCTGTCGAGACTGGGGCTCGAGCCGGTGACCTTCCTGTCACTGGCACAAAGACTTAACCCACTGAGACACAAATCCATCCCCAATCACCAGAACAATTTCTCAGTTTCATTTTCACAACCCTATATTCTGTCCCTCCTAAAAATTCAGTTCCACTGAGATTTTTGTCCCCGTTTATCAAAGAAAAAGCTCCGTTTCATCTACAAATTAATTTCTTCCAAGGTTTTTGACTGGAACCCATAATCTGTTTAACATTCCCCTGTAACAGGACTGTGGATACTCTACAAGTCCCCCTCATATTTTACACAATTATACATTAGAACTGATTTGATTATAATACAGCATTCTAAATGTACAGAACAATTCTGAACTTAATTGTTAAGCATAAATGTGACATTATGTTATGCACACGAGCCTTTCACATAAAACGTAGCCTCTCTCTTCGTGAATAGGCCCTGCCGTAGGGTAGGATGCTACTTATTGCTGGATTAGCTGCTGCTCAGTAGACGTCTAACAACGTCCGTCTCCGAAGATCACATCTGATCCAGATTCCTCCACACACAAAAAATTACCTGGGCCTAGGTGTGACTGTAAATCCTATTTCCTGAACTCAGGCACGACAGACTATGGCTGTCTGTAGTATAACGTCAAGGAAAGTAAAATGCATGATTATAGGAATAAGAACCGCGCTAAATTCTCAAAGAATTTCCCCATTGTGGGATTAATAAAGTCTAATCTAATCTAATCTAATCTAATCTAATCTAATCTAATCTAAATGTGCCACCTGCTAGGGTGCAGCTGCAAAACAGAAAGTCTCCTTAATGCTACGCTAACAGAGACAGGATAAGGGATTATAAGTATTGCATTGCACCATATTAGTTCTCCTAGGTGTCTGTGACGTACTCGTGTTTTAATTTCCCAAAAGTTATTTCACAATGATATGGGACCAGTCCAGGAATTTGTGCAATGAAAGATATACCTGATCTGTGGTGACAGGGAGGGATCCAAATTCCTTCATGCATCTGTCAGTTTCTTTAGCCAGCTGATTAACATTGTGCTGTTTTTGTTGTCTGGGATTAAAAAAAAAAAAAGAAACATACAAATAACATGAAAACAAGGTGAGAGCTGTTTTATAAACTCAGAGAGAGAATAAGAAGTGCCTGTATAAAAAAAAAAAAGAGTGTGTCATCTGTGACTAGCTTTTGCACGATTGATTCTTACTGTTTGGCTTTCTTTAGACACCTAAAGAAATAAATAAAACTCCCTACAGAGTTTGCAATTTGAGCACTGAAAGGCACCACCCTGTCTATCAGTACAGTCCCAGCGCTGTTTCTGTACTTGTGCTGGCTATCTGTAAGTACTCTGCCCATTCCCCTACAACCCATGCTGTCAAGGAGAAGTGTTGACTGTAAATCAACATACCGGTGCCCTTCAAGGCATTGCCCTGGGCCTATCACACCATATGCACCCTCATTTGCATCAACTCCAAAACTCTGACGTGTTGCTTGCGAAAGCAAACTGGTGGTTGCTAACCCACTGCCAGTAGCATTTGAACTCAATCTGCCCAAGTGACATATTAATCCTTTCCGGTGTGCAGGTAAAATCTCACAATGACACCATAAAGACAGGCTGCTGACTGGTAGTTGGTCTGGGTGAGAACCAGAGTGCACTGTACTTACAGCTGCTGCCTGAGCTCGGCGGTGTCCTGCGGGCTTCCCAGAAGGTTTATAATTCGCTGGATCTCAGATGCTTGGGAAGAAAAGGACATATTATAGAGTCTTTTAGAGGCAAACATAAAATCAAGAAATTATCAGACCCTTTTTGGCGTGGAGGAGGAATAAGAACATGCTTGTTCTTAATCACAGTTTGATTTAGAATAATAATAACAACTACATGAATAGTACATCACATTACTGGGTGTCAATTAAAACATGCTGAAATAGCGACCATCTTTTTTGTTGTTTTACTGGTGACCACAAACATGAATTTGTAAATTTCGTATAAATAAAAACTCAGACTCATTCGAAAAATAAAAGGCAGCTCTAAGTGAATATATTTTTTAGGTAAAACCTCAAAATTCTGCGATTTATGCTTCACGTTAAATGCTACTAAATCACAAGAATATTAACTGTGGTATGAACCGATAGGTCTTAAGTGTAGTTACTTATTAGATGATTATCGGTGACCAATTGCACAAGAACTTACTCTGTTGTGTTATTTTATGAATGTTTGATCCTATTTCCTGGACGAGCTGATTAGGGTCTTGTGGCACTCCAAACTGGTATGCCATGATGAATCAACAGTCTACAAAAGAAAATGGAAAATGTGCTTTTCTCATTGGGGTCACAAAGATAACATCAAATTAATACATTAGGAAACCAATGGAACCAAGTCCTATTACAGGCTAGGTAACATTTAACTTTTCCTGCCAACAACAGTGAGAATATACAATAATTTTTGATATCCTGGTTCAGCTACTTGTATGGATAGCAGATAAATGTTTCAGAATGCCTGCTTGTGACTGAATTATGTTTCAGATTGTAGTACATTCCTTATGTCCACTGAAATTCAGTAAAGGAAGCTACAGTTTTACAGTTACTGTAACATGGTAAGTTCCTTGCTTAACGGCAGAGATAAAAAGCAGCACAGCCTGCGGGAAATCAGGAAGCTAAACCAGCAACTGTTTTATAAGTGTTATTTATTGAATAACCATAGCTAAATAATAATTGCAATCAACTAAGCAACTACTTTGGGAGAAGAGCTATGGAAAAGTAGATGAAAATGACGTCAACCTCATCTCGGAGTAAACGTCAGATTTAAAGAGCAAAAAAATAACTACTCCGCATTGATTTAAAGCTGTTTGGACATAAGCCTGGTTTACAAATTTATCGTTACCCACAGACGACACCACCCAATAGTACTTTATATCATTTTTGTCATCTGAAAAGACAGGAAAATGAAACGATCTTAACACACTGTGTGCTGGGTTGGGTGCTACACGTAACACGGATGGTTAATCAGCTGTTAGCTTTTAGAGAGTCCAACGTATATTTATTTTACGAATCCTCATAGTGAGCTCCCATTACTGTAATTTATTTACCAGAAAAATGTGGAACTGCACAAAATATTTAAATCTGTATTTTAAAACACGTTCGAAATATTAGGTAAACAAAACGACGATATAAATTGGCGTTAAAAACGCAAGGAAACCACCATGTTAAATTCTAAATAAATGGCAAAACAAGTGATGTTACGAGGGATGTTCGTAATCTACCCACGCAGCACAATATTAGTTGACAAGGCGGCGACCACCGAAAAACGATTTTTAGTAAGTGCTCAGCTGACTCTTGGACATGGCACGCCCGTTCCCATTTTACCCTACCTTCTCTTTGGCGACGGCCTTTCGCTCTGTTCATTTCCGGGTTTGGAGCCACGCCCCTGTCACATGACGAGCGCGTTGGCGTGTGGTTTGGCACGTGAGATGCGGATCCTGCAAGCGTCAGAGAGGGCGGTGAATCTGGTGGGGCGTCCGAATTCGCACATTTATACGGAAGTCTGTAGAGGACATGCATAATGTTTTTTTTTCTTTTCGTTATCTCGAAATCACGACTTATTTTTCTCGTCATCTCGACATAACCAAAGTCGTTAACTCGAGATCACGACTTATTTTTTCTTATTCTTTTAAGCCAACATCTTTCAAACATCACCCGGTAGCCATGGAAACGTCCCGGACTCTCCAGTTGGTTGGTAATGAAACTGACTACTCGTTCAGGCTCACTATAATTTCTCCGACGGTATAGCTGCAAATTTCTGAGCCTCCTTCTCGAATGACGAACACTAATATGATAATTTTCTAGCACCGAAAGACAGTGTTATTTTCTCGTATCCATGACTTTTTCCCACAGTTTGAAGTCTAACTTGGTTTTACAAAGAAGTGCAATATAACCACTTATGATACTGGTGCAATATACTTTTACTTTACTGTGCAATAGGGCCTATATACTTTTACTTTTCCTGTAACTTTTGGACAAAGGTACTTTAGATTCCTGTACAGAGATTTTCTATCTTATTTTATTTTTATTTTATTTATTAGAATGCTTAAAAGTGCCATAATTTGTTTTACACTTCATTCCTGTTTTTATACTTATATTGTATTGTTCTTGTCTTCGTGTTTATATGTGATTGTGCAGTCGCAATGTGAGCAATTTCCTCCGGGATTAATAAAGTCTTCTGATTATGATTATGATTCTGATTGTGATTGTGATTGGGACAGTCCACGATCAAAGTAAAATCTGATGTATTCGTCCATATGAGGATAGAAAAATTAAATAAAAATAAAATAAAAAATACGTACTAAACCTCGAGATCATGGGAAAAAAATAAGTCGTGATCTCGAGATAACAAAAAGAAAAGAAAAAGTTCGTGCCTGTCCTCTACAGACTTCCGTATCTACAGACTTCCGTAATAATTACTGTTACTGTCATTGTCTAAATGTATTTTTACTGTCTAAATATATGTGTTCAGTTAGTGTAAACATGCAGGATGCTATCACAGCAAATGAAAGGCTGAGACTGAAGCGCCTTACGCTTTGTTTCCTCTGAGAGGTGTGCTGCGTGACTCATTTCCCCGCACGTACAAGTTATCTTAGGTCGGCGTTCACGGTTTGACTTCTGAGATTCAGATCGAGTACTAGGTAATTTTTTCCCGAAGTGGTTGGTTCGACTTTTAAGAAATTCGAGTTTTAATGAGTTTGAGAACTGAGGTACCACTGTATTTAGGCTCTCTGGTCTTGTCATAAAACTGACATGAAAAAACATCTGCCTCACGGAATGGGGCTGCTCTTTAAACCAAGCGAACACAGTAAAGTGTAATCCACACCAGGCAAGCCAATATGAATACAAAAAGAAACACCAAGATAAAATAAAGCATCCATCCATCCATCCATCAACTGCTGCTTATACAGAGTCAGCAGTCTAAGCAGGAATGCCCAGACCTCCCTCTCACCAGCTCCACTGGGGGAATACCAAGGTGTTCTCCGGCCAGCCGAAAGAGTCTGCTCCGGGGCCACCTCCGAGTTGGACATGCCCAAAACACCTCCCCAGGGAGCCGTCTAGGAGGCATCGAACCACTTCAACTGGCTCCTCTCTACACAGAGGAGCAGTGGCTCTCCTTTGAGCCCCTCCTGAATGTCCGAGCTCCTCACCCTATCTGTAAGGCTGAGCCCAGCCACCCTGCAGAGGAAACTCATTTCTGCCACTTGTATCTGCAATCTCATTCTTTCAGTCACAAACCAAAGCTCGTGACCATAGGTGCATGTAGGAAAGAAGATCAACCGGTAAATCAATAACTTTGACTTCCAGCTGAACTCACATTTTAGCATGACAGAATGGTACAGCGTCCACATTACTGCCGAAGCTGCACCGATCTGTCTGTCGATCTCCCGCTCCCTTCTTCCCTCACTCATGAACAAGACCCCTAGATATTTAAACTCATCCACTCGAGGCAGTATCTCATCCCCACCAGTAGAGGACAATCCACCCTTTTCAGGTCGAGAACCGTGGCGTCAGACTTAGAGGTGCTGATCCTCATTTTGGCTGCCTCACACTCAGCTGCAAACCACCCCACTGCATGTTGCAGATCACAGCCTGATGATGTCAGCAGGACCACATCATCCACAAAAACAAAGATGTGATCTTGAGGTCACCGAACTGGACCCTCTCCACCTCTAGGCTATGCCTAAAAATTCTGTCCATAAAAGTTATGAACAGAATCAGTGACAATGGGGACTTGCGGAGTCCAGCATCCACCGAGAATGAGTCTGACTTATCTCTAGCAATGCAAACCAAACTCTTGCTCTGTTTATATAGGGGCTGGATTGCCCCCAATAACCAACCTCGTGCCCCAGCACAGGACCCCCCAGGGACACGATCGTATGCCTTTTCCAAGTCCACAAAACACATCTAGACTGGTTGGGCAAAAAACCATGAACCTATTCATGTGAGGGTGAAGAGATGGTCTAGCATTCTGCAACCAGGATGGAATCTGCATTGTTCCTCTTAGATCTAAGGTTCGACCAACAGGCAGTACACCAGTATAGACCTTCCCAGGCAGGCTGAGGAGAGCGATGCCCCTGAAGTTGGAACACATCATTTGGTCCCATTTCTTAAAGACTGGGACCACCACCCCAGTCTCCCCAGTCTGCCAATCCAAAGGCGCTGTCCCCAACCTCCACACAATATTAAAGGGAAATTAATAAAATATAAAATTATAAAAATGAGTACTTCATACAGTTCATAGGAATAACGTATCATCAATAGTGAATGATGACTCAGTAACAATATACTGTTACTCAGTAGCTAGTACAGGGGTGGGCAATCTTACCTGCAAAGGGCCGGTGTGTGTGCTGGTTTTCACTGCAACTCCCTAATTGGGTCACTAATTAGAGCAGGGTTATTCAAGTAACGATCCTCGAGGTCCGAGCACTGCTGGTTTTCCAGCCTTCCTTTACCTGTCAGTCAGGTGTGAAGCCTCTGACCAATCAGAATCAGTAATTATTAAACTAACTACCTGGGAGAACTGAAAAAAAGGCCTGGATTTGGAATCGAGGTCCAGATTTGAAGAACCCTGAGTTAGTGGACTGATTGGCTGAAGAGTCCTCACCTGGGTTTGAACAGCTGACCTAAAGGTTACCCTAAAACCTGCACACACACCGGCCCTTTGCGGGTAAGATTGCCCTCCCCTGAGCTAGTAGGTGGTGCTAAATGATTCATCTATATTTCTAACTCCTGGTCAGGGTCACCGGGCCTGGAGCCTATATGGTTACTACCCAGATAGCAGTTGACTCTGGGTCGGATCCGCCTTTGAGTCAGCGGATCTGCTTTACAGTCGGAATAGTTACGTGGCTCTGTGCAGGGTTTGGCTGGAGTACACTAAAACAAGTGGGCTTCATACTCAGCTTTCACTGCGAGTGGATAAATAGATTGAGGATAGATTGAGGGCAGCTTTCACAAGGTCCAGGGTTATAAGCAGGATAGAGGAGGTAGCTAGAGGGCAGCTTGCTAGGTATCACTAATGCATCTTTCCACCAGGGTTGGGGGTTCGAATACTTATTCTCCTATGCATGTGCAGAGTTTATGTGATTTCTCAGTGTTTTCTGTGTTACCTCCTACAGTCCACAGACATGCATTTAGAAAAATGAGTGTCTCTCATCTAGGGTGTAGACATAATCACACCTCTCACACACACTATCAAGCTTTCCTTCACACAGTCCATACTCTTGTGCTTGCTGTCTTATTCTCTGATATACAATCTGATACTTTTTAGCACATTCTGTCACACCCCATATACTGTACATGTACCTTTGTAGGGGATTGATTTTCACAATAATAAGTACTGGAATTGTATAAAATTATAGATTAATTATTTGCACTCCATACATCCATCGATCCATTTTCTGAAACCACTTGTCCTATACAGGGTTGCGGGGGGGTTCTGGAGCATATCCCAGAGGCTATGGGATGGGGCGCGAATCCATCACAGGGCACACAAACACACACCAGTCACTCACACATGCACACCTATGGGCAATTTGGTAACTCCAGTTAACCTCAGCATGTGTTTGGACTGTGAGGGGAAACCAGAGTACCTGGACGAAACCCCATGACGACACGGGGAGAACATGCAAACTCCACACACACGGAACCATGGTGGAGACTCAGACCCTGGTCCCAGAGGTGAGAGGCGACAGTGCTACCTACTGCACCCCTGTGCCCTCCCCGTTTGCCATGCAGTAATTCATATTTCACAATAAAATAATTGATATTTAAACAGGTCTTTTGGAATATCTTGGGGGTGATACAGGGCGGTATAACCATTCTAGGCAGTGCTGAAGCACCCCCAGCCCTGCCCCCATGACCCTGACCAGGAAAATAATAATAATAATAATAATAATAAATAAATAAATAAATAAATAATAATAATAATAATAGATTTTATTTATAACGCACTTTACATTTTCGGAGAAAATCTCTAAGTGCTACAAAACCTCAACAATCTAAAAATGTCAAAGCTATAAAGCAAAAAATGACTACTTGAACAATGAATTTTACTCAAGTGGGTGAAATATGAATTACAGTTAATTAATGAGCTTTTATATAAAACCGTGAAGTATTCAGGTGAAATAATGATTAGACTAAGGACACAGGTGCTGTATGCAGCTCAGAGTTCCTTCTACAAGTATTTATTAAATTATTATGAAAGCCACAGCACTGCCATGCCAACAAGGAGAAATGTTTGAGTTCCGTTACTCGTTCACCTACACACAATCTCTCGAGACTCATAAGTCCCAAAAGATACAAAACTATAAAAGATAACAATGTACTGAAAAATCACGACATTTATTTCAGATGCAGTTTCCTTCTTGTTTCTTGTAATGCTTTTTGACCACACTCTCCTACTATTCCCCTAGAGAAGAGAAAAAACAAGCTTGCATGACATCGCCCTTGGTCATGTATCTTGCTCAAGTATAATTATAAATAAGGATGCTCTTATTTGCTGTCAGGCAATCCATTCAGGTGAACAGAGGATGATTTCAATATTTTAAGAGTTAAGATGAGTTTGGTAGACTTTTTAAACCACGGGTGGAAAAAAGCATATATAAAAGGATTTACACTAGAATTAAAATAGAACAAGTACAATATGTATTTTGCAGCCAAGTTTGGATTTGACATTTTGTCTGTGTTCATAAGTGATACGTACAACGGTATCCAGCAACACAGATAAATAAATACGACGGTGCCTAAAGATTTCGTTGCCTTCTTCTCATGAATTCTCAAGGCCTTTTTTTCCCCGTTGCACTGCCTTGTTGAATTTATTTTGATCAAATGTTTTAATGCCACTTTGAAAATCTGTGCATACAATATGAAAATGACAGTACCTGGGATGATAAAGGTAATCATCATGTCCGCGATCAGCCAGTTGTTGTCATAGGAGCCCATGCATTCATCGACACAAATATTTTGCACTTCTTCAAAGTGGGCAAAGTATGACAAAAGTATGTTGTATAAGAAGGATATGGTCCAACCGAGAAATATACATTTCACAGTCCTATTAATGGACATCTTACAGTTATATTGTAGGGGGAGACACACAGCAAAATATTGGTTAATTGCTATGAGCACTACATGGCAAAGAGATGACGTGGTAATAGCCCAAGTAAACACATTGTAAAACCAGCACATAGTTACCCCAAAATGCCAACAAGACAATCGCACACAGTTTATTGGCATGATGATTACTCCAACCAAGAGATCTGTGACAGCCAGAGAGAGGGTGAGAACGTTAGCTGGACTGTGGAGTTGTCTGAAGACACAGAGCGAGGTGATGACCAGCAGGTTTCCGAACACTGTGACCACTGACAGAAAAATGGAAATAACCGCATTTACTATTAGATATTCGACTTGTATGTTCCCACCGCAGGACGAGTTCTGTGATAGAAAACAATGAGAGATGTGTCCACCAGGCAGACTTTGTTCCATGGAAAACCGGCAAAAATGGATCTACAATCGAGGGGAGGTGCAAAGAAGCAGCTGTCAGTCATCCCTCATTGTCCAAGGAGGATCGGTTCCAGGAACCCCTGCAGATACCAGAAATTCATGGATGCTTTTTACATATAACCTAGGCACATCCTCCCGTGTACTATAAAAATATATAGATTACGTATAATACCTAATATAAAGTAAACGCTAAGTAAATAGTTGTTTTACTGTATTGCTTAGGGAATAGTGACAAGAAAACAAGTCTGTACGTTGAGTACAGATGCAACTATCGTAGTACATACAGAAAATATAAAATCATTCTGTCTCACACACACACACACACACACACACTGTCTTAACACTCACCAACACCCAAAACTACACTTCACTTCAGTCACGTCGATTCAGCGTAGTGCAATGTGCTTAGCAAATTCAAGTCTTGCTTTTTGCAAGCTTGCTGGAATTATTTTTTCCTGATATTTTCGATTGACGTTTGGTTGAATCTTTGGATATGGAGTGTCGCCTGTATTCGCATGTATTTTTTTGAGGTCTGAATGTAAGAAAGAAGTCCTTTCACCTCAGCTTTGATAACCAGACACTGCTCCTAGTTATATACCGTGTGCCTGCTTGCCTAGGAGCCACGTGAGGATGTGACTCCGCAGTATTGATATGCTGTGGGACCAAAACCGGAGAGACTCCTCCCGTGTGTTTATGGGTATCACAGAATCACACAGCCAAGAGGGATGTCACCAGTTAGGAACTGATGTCACTATGCAAAGACACGGTGAGGACCCGGGAGATTAGGAGGTGGGTTTGGCTGGTCCTCACACTTGGACAGGGCCAGGAATGG